AGCCCCCACCCCCACCCTGCCCTGCCTGGAGAGAAGAGGCAGGCATTTGCCCTTCTGAGGTAGAGGAGGGAGTCCCTTCTCTGGCTGCATCCTCCTCAGACGATCTGAACACTTGCCTCCTCCACGGCAGCAGCCTGGGATCCACAGGGAGGAGAAATAACGAGAACTGGATACAGTTGGGTTTCTGGTTTTTTAAGTGACTTCGATATATTAACACAGAGCTGTTCTACCATAACAAACAGAAGCACGTTACAGGACGGACGCTCGGGACGGACGCTGGGGGTGAGAGGAAACACTGCTATGTACAGCCCAAGGCGCCGGCCTGCGCCGCCCGACCCAGCCTGCCGCCCGGTCCCCAGCCCTCGCCCCTCAGCTCCTGGGCTGGGAATCATTATTATGTGTGTGTGTGTGTCTTTTTTTTTTTGTACAAAATCTGCACGCAGAGCGCCCCAGGCCCGGGGAGGGATGGCCTGGACCAAACACGATACAGGAAGAAAAAAAAAAATAGAAATATAGTGATTCAAGTACTGGCTTCTCTGAAGAAAGGAGAAAAAAAAATCACATTTGTGTGTGTCATTTATTTCGGTTGCGCTGGGGGAAGAGAACGCAGTTTCTCTCCCCGCCTCCTCCTCGCTGGGTAGAACTAACTCTAAAACACCAATATCTCAACACTGAACCCTCCCAAATCGCAAGAGTTTTCCTTTTCCCCTTCCTTTTTTTCTTTTTAAGCCGACTGGCTTTTCTCTATCTTGCTCTTTCCTTTTCTTTTTCGTGCTTTCTCCCGTCTGGGTGGGGGTATTTTTGTGGGGTTTTTGTTTTTTCCCTTGGCTGTGCGGAGGCAGCAGGCTGGGCAGGGTTTAGGACTGCTCCTTGTCGGTTTTCTCTTTATTCATCTTTTTCATCTTCATCCTTCGGTTCTGAAACCAGATTTTGACCTGCCGCTCGGTGAGATTGAGAACCCGGGCCACCTCATACCGACGGTCCCTGGTTAAATACATATTGAAGAGAAACTCCTTCTCCAGTTCCAGCGTCTGGTACTTAGTGTACGGGCAGCGCTTCTTCCTCGTGGAGCGGGCGTGGATCCAGTTGGCCACGGGGTTGCCTGGAGGGCCAAACACAAGCAGGGGTCAGTGGAGCCCCTTTCCAGACCAGGACCTCTGCCCTCCACCCCCAGGCTCAGCCAGGCTCCCCAAACCCGACGACTGAACCTGAATTTGGACACATTTTGCTGCAGGAATTTCCTCCTCTTCCTCCTTCTGCCTTCTGCCCCCCCTCCCCATCTCCCCCCTTTTCGGTTTCCAGCACCTAAAACTGTAGGAAATCCGAAGCTATCAAAGCCCCTCCAGTCTGGTCCTCAGCTTCAAGAGTAGTAATTCGAGAATATCCTCATAAAAAGTCCAAATTCCCAACCGTTTCATAGGCCCATAAACGCTTCTCTCCCTTGTTTTTTATTTTTACAGCAAGGTCCCTCTCTCCCCACCTCCCTCCTCCTCTGCCCCCTCCCATCCTCCCAGCCCACGACCAAGTCCTGAAATTTTAGCAGTTCTGCTTCCTGACCCTGAGAGTCCCCAAGCCCCTCACCACCCTCTCCAGCGCCCGGCTCCGCTCTGAGTGCAACCCTGCTGAGGCGAATTCTCAGGGTGATGCTGGGGCAGCAAGAGGCTCCTCTCCCCGAGGGTTGCTGGCCTTGGGGACAGGCTCCCCTATCTCTCCGTTCTCCTGTTTGGCCTCCAGTGCCCCCCTTCTGCCAGCCCCAGGACAGGCTCTGCTGGAGCCAAGCCTCCAATTTCAGGTTTATGGGAGTAGCTGAGGGCAGGCAGGGAAGCCTTCAGAGGGGTATAATTAGGCCCTGGCCCCTGATGGGGCTGGAGGAGAAGATTTCCTGCAGCCCCTCCTGGGACCCCCCCCCAGACACTTCCTCACGCCCAGGAGGCTGCACCCCTCCCCTGCTGTTTCTCCTTCTTTCCCCTCTTTCTGTCCCTGAAGCTCTCACCTGCCCCCACCCCATCCCTTCTTGGCAATCCTCAGAAGGCTCCTGTCTCCCTGAGGGGAGAGTGTGTGTGTGTGTGTGTGTGTGTGTGTGTGTGTGTGTGTGTGTGTGAATCCTCTCATCTGGGGAGATGCCTACTCCTCATCCCTGACCCCCATTCTCAACCCTCCCCCCAGAGATCCTCAGAAGAGGATTCTCAAGTTTAAGGAGACTCAGACCCCACTTTTGTGCCCACTTCTCTCTGGAAGTCTTCCTCTTTCCAAGTTCCCAGGATTCGAAACGCCCCAAACCCCTCACCCAGTGCTCCTGGGGGAGAAGTCCATGAACCCCCTGTGTGATGAACCCCTAGTGGGGTGAGGACCCCATGCTGCCCGGGAAGGAGGGGTAGTTTTTCTCCCTGGGGCATTTCCTCTCTGTCCCCAGTGTCCTCCTGGCCTCTCCCCCGTCCCATCTCAAACCATAAAATGAACCTCGCCCCCTGCCCCATCTCCTGGTCCTGCCTGCATTTCTTGGAAACTGGCGAGCGAGCCGACAAGCCTGGGCTGGGAGGAGGAGCAGGGGTCTCTCCTAGAGCAGCCCCTGGGAGAGGGCTCCCCTCGGCCCTCTCCCCGCCTGTCTCCCCCGGCCCCCTTCTCAGACCTCCCTGCCCCTGCGAACTCCCCAAGGTAATTCGCTTTTATGGAGAGCTCGCCCCCTCGCCCGCGCCCCTCGCCTGCGCTCCCCGCGCCGGCCGGAGGGGCTGTAATCCGGCCCCCTCCCCGCCCGCGCCGGTTGTAAAGGAAGATTGCGCCCAACTTACTGGGGTCCAGGTCGGCCTTC